GTGAGGAACGTTTGAAGGCCCAGTGGGATTCATGGATCTCCCCTCGAACTATCCCAGGCCCCCCAAAATTGCACTTTATTCTGAATGTGTGGGTAGGGAGTTATATGGGAAGCTTCTTGCCAATCTCCGAAAGCACAGAAATAAAACTTTGGCCAAAAAGCAGTACTTGTACCAAACGTATTCCTGAGGGGCCAAGGGAATGTTGGGATGTTGGGGGTCCTGCTTCTGCTGGCAGAGGAGGGGGAGAAAGGCAGTGACAAGTGCGCAGGGCCTGAGAACTGGGGACGTGCTGAAGCACAGGCAGCCCTGCCTTGGCTCAGGCTATGCAAGTGATTTAGCGTCATTACGCAGAAATGTCCTTCTCTCTTACGGTGTTTATCAAATGCCCCCCAGAACACACAGAGCGATGTTGAGGGGTGGCCTTGTGGTTAGGACTGCCGTTACTGCCAGTCTCTGAGGGCACCGGAGGGATCCTGCGGATTTCTCTGCCAAGCTAATGGCTCCAATGGTGGTGTCTGCAAACACTTCGGAAAGTGGAGGAAGATGAAATCCTGCCCTGATTGGAAGCGATTTCATTTCATTTCAGCCTGGGGGAGTGCCCTCCTCGGAACTCTGCCCGAATCTCCTGAGCAGGAGGGGAGCTCGGGCTGTCCTGCTGTTATTGGTTGGCTCGTGTCCTCCTCAAGGACAGGACTCCGCTAGGTTTCTACGAAGCACCCAGTCTATGGAATAAGGCAATCACTAGTAGGTAGTTAAACAACAAGTGGATGCTTTAAAAACCCCAAAACCACTCAATTTCTTTTCTTTTTTTTTTTTTTTAGTAAACATACAAACAAAATGTATTCACCATTCAAATCACTATATTTAAGTTACTATATAATCAAATTTTACAAGATAATAGAAACTCTATTGTTTTTAGATTTTTTTTTGCCATAGAGTGTGTGTGCTCACTAGAGAGAGACAGAGACAGAGAGAGAGGAGAGAGAGAGAGAAAGTAAGAAATCGCCTTCTGGGAAGACGGCCATGCCACAATCCCTTCTCTTCCATTCTCCTCTTGGGATTCTGGGCACACACACGTGTGCCTGGCATGATTTTCAGGCCTCCAGGTCCACACTCGAACTGCAGAGTCGGTCATGCAGGATCCAGTGACTTAACAACTACTATGCCCCTGTTGGCCCCTCTATTGCTGTTAGAGCACTTTAGAGGAAGTGCTCGAGGAGTTCAGGATGAATTCCCGGAAGTGTGAAGACTCCAGATAGTGATGAAGTGGTTAAGGAGGATCAGTGGAAGGGCCAGCCAAGAGTTTTGGGGGAGGGTGAGTAGACTGGCTTTGTGGCCTGGTGGTTGGGGCAGCTGGATCCCACATGGCCTATTATGCAGTTCAGTCCTAGACTCCGAGGCTGAAGCAACATGCTACCCATGTGCCCCAAATCCTGACAGGATCTAGGAACAGAGGAGGAGGAATTACAGTGGGACCATTTGCCATAGGAGGAGGATGTTTTCTATCTCTGCCTGTCTCTTGTCTCTGTCTCTCTGTTTCTGGAAAATATACGTACCCTCTGGCAAAAAAAAAAAAAAAAAAAAAATCCAACCCAGGCTGGGGGCCACCCCATAGCATGGTGGTTGGGGTGGCTATATCTCACACAGCCAACTGCACGGTTTGAGTCCTAGACCTGGCAACTTGGGAAACAACGCCAACATATGTGCCTAAAATCCCAAAAGGAGGGAGAAATGGAGAAGGGATTGACGAATTCCTATAGAGGGTGCTTTCTCTCTCTCTCTCTCTCCAGTGAGTGCGCACACCCTCTGGCAAAACTGAAAAAAGAATATGAATCAGACTGACCTGAGCAGAGTACATCTTGGAGAGTACACCTGACAGGTTGGCCAAGTGACTTGCTTCCACTGATGGGATGTCAGCATGTCGAATCCCAGCAGAGGTTACAGATGTGCTTGCATGGTGGGGCTTCCTGGGTTGGCCTCTGCCATTGCAGTGAGAAGGACATACTCTACTGGGCCCAGAAAAGTGAGAGGCCCTCTGGACAAACTGAAGCCAAGCCCAGTGTGTCCAACCTACATCAGCCAAACTCCGGTCTGTTCGCAGGCACGTAAGCAAGACCTAAAGGCTTGTTGTGAGCTGTCACTCCATCTTTCTTCACCTCCCCGGGCTCCTTCTTTTCTTTCCCTGTCTTACAGCCCAGCTCTCCAGCATGGCGGGCACCTCGTCTCTCACCTGTGCTCAAAACTTCAGAAGAGTTGGCTCTGCTCCCCTCGAGGCACAGCGCCGTTGACTTTGCACAGGTGACCCAGGGAACTGCACAGTGCGTTGCTGCCAGGACTCAGCTCCCTGTCTGTGCCCTGCTTCTCAACTGGACCTCTGACTTCCCACTGCAGGCTGCCCGAGGCTTTGTGAGGGTTCCCCCAGGGTAATCTCTGCTGTGTCTTTCTGCCCCTGTATATCTCCTGTCTCTTCTGCTATCTGTGGTCTGTTTTTCAGTTATGGGGTATGCTTTGTAAGTAGTCACCCAGCTTCTGGAAGCCTTGGAGCAGTATCTGTCTTTAGTCTCTCGGGTCATTTAATTTTGAGGTCCCAGGAAATTTTTTTTTAAAGTTCTTTTCTTTTCCAGGTCAGCAGGTGGCATGGTGGTTAAGGTACTGGACTCGCACATGGCTAACTGTGGTTTGAGTCCCAGATTTTTCTCATTTTCCCTCTCCCTCTGCCTGTCACTCTCTTGAGTGCACATGCCCTATAGAAGATATTTAAAAATGAATAAATAATATTTTTTTAAAAAGATGCTCTTTTCCTGCAGCAGAAGCCATTTGGTCTCAGTTCGCATACTTCTTACTCTGCCTTCCGGCAGCATCCAAGGATGTGCTTACCTCACACCCAGCATGGCTTCTCAGACGACAGTGGAGAGGGCAGCAGATGTTCTGGTTTCTGTTTTGCATTTCCGTCTTGTATGAAAGCCCTCTGATCTTTCTGGAAGCATGTTGATCCCACCTGTTCATGCATGCAGACCCAGCTTCTTTAACCTATTCCATTGTTGATATACTTTCCCTTCTCGGTTCTAGGCTTCAGAGCAAGGAAGCCCCCACCAGGTTTCATGTCATTAGTGAGTAAAGTCGGCTCTCTTTTGCTCCTTTCCCCGCTCTAACCAATGTACTGAGTAACGTGCTCTGGACGACATATAAGCAGTTACAATTGCATCGACTTTTGCTAGGTCCTATATGCTAGGAGAGAAAATGTAGAATTCCTTTCTCCTTTATTCTGTGCTGATCTCAATGCCTTTATTCAAACCCTTGTTGAAGCAATCCTGCATTATTTATTTATATGTTTCTGTTTTTGGATCAAGAGAAATTATTTGCTGTTGTGTACAGTTTATAAACACACTTTTTGAAAAGGCATATTTTCGGGGCCAACAGGTGGCATGGTGGTTAAGGGTCCTCTACTCCCATGTGGCTGACCATGGTATGAGTCCTGGACCTGGTGGCTTGCTTTCTCACTCTCTCTCTCTCTCTCTTCCTCCCTCCCTCTCTGTTCCAATTAAAATAACTAACTAAATAAGTAAAGTTAAATAAAATAATTCTTCAAAAAAGGAGGAAAAGCATATTTTCATTTTTGTATTATTTAAAGAGTAGTAGATACATTGTATTGATGTTCAATATTTAATGCGATCACCTTCTAGAATGGCTTCTGTGCTGCCAAGGCTGTTTCCCAGACAGCCTTGCATCGAGGATTCTGGAAGTGAGCGTGGTTCAGCCATTTGGATGTACTCATGTGGAGCTGGGAAGTCGGCAGCAAGATGGTCCATGTGTCTGTCCTTTTTACTGACAAGTGCAGCCATCTCGTTGGTGTGGACCCTTGTGGGCACTGGCGTGGCTCTACCTGGAACAGCTGCAGTGATTTTTCTGGCCATAGTGACTTCCTGAGGGTGGTGCCATGGTTCCAGAGTTGGAGACAGAAGCAGTGGTCACCCATTTGTCAGGGAGCTCCCTGGTTGAGAAGGCCACTACTCTGTGAGGGGCTGGCTTCTGCTGAGCAGTGTTGACAACCATCCTGGAGGGTCGAACCTGGCGCCCATCTCTTCAGCTCTCCCAGTAATTCTGCCAGCCATTGACTGCTTTATAATAAGCCCCTTCTTGCTTAAACTAAAACGGGAATGGGTTCTGTTCTTTGCAATGAAACCATGACCAATATGCCATGGGAGTAGTTACTGTAATACTGAAGACAGCTTTGGGTTGGAAAGATTCTGAAACAAGAGAAGCAGCTAAGAAGAAAGGCACAATTTAGCCTTTTTCTTCGCAGCTGCAACTCTGGAAGCCACACCATGGCTCTTGCCATCCGAGCACATATGTAACTTTCTATGACAAAAATATCAGGAGAGTTTTGAGGGTGACTAGGAGGCAGGGCTCTGGAGTCCTAACTGTCACATTAAGCTTGAACTCATCCTAAAACCTAAACTTACAATCCTGCAGGTCAAATTCTTATGCCACAATCTTTCTAATGACAAATGGCTTCAACTCATTCTCTCCCTGTTTCTCCCGCCCCCTCCACTCCTAGGAGTGCTTCACAGCCACCAGCTATCGATACCTGCGCGCGTGTACACACACACACGCGCGCGCGCACACACACACACACACACACACACACACACGGGACTGGAGAGGGCATTCGTAAAAAACAAAACAAACAAACAAAAACACAGTAAAACAGAAGCAATAAACTCAAGTTTCAAAGGAGAAATGAGATCGCAGCAGAGCCTATCCCTGGGAGAAAGGGTAATGGTTCCTAGAGAAAACCCAGGGAGCGAGAGAGCAATTGGAAGGGCAGGGAGAGCGGCTGACCTGAATTGGGTGGAGGGATGGGCAAGCCACTCCTCCTTCACTGCTCCAGTCTCTACTCCTCTTTAGTTGGCTTGCTTTTAAACAAAACAAAACAGGGGCCAGCAGGTGGCACGGTGATTTAAGTTGTGGATTCTCACAGGGCTGACCACAGTTTAAGTCCTGGACCCGGCAGCTTGAAAATCATACTAGACACGTGTGAATTTGTGACTAAAATCCTGAGAAGAGAATGAAGGAGAAGGGATTGTAACATGGCTATCTCTTACTTTCCTTCTCTCCGTCTCCAGGGAGCAAACCCGCCCCCCCCCAAAAAAAAGAAAAAACACCAGTCTATCTACTATAAGATTGGGTAATACCTGCTCATGGTCTGAAATTCGAAGCTGCAAGGGCGCAGGGTGGAAAGTGAGTCTCCTGCCACGGCAGACCACATGAGGCTCCTGCTCCCTGCCAGCAGCAGCCTCCGGGGCAAGCTTCCTCCTCAGCTGGTTTTCACACAGGGGCGCTTCTGATCCAGGATGGGGTGCAGGCCTCCAAACTTGTGGCGAAGAGCTCTGCAGGGAGGGGAAGGGTCTACAGTGGGGCGGGGGCCTGACAACCAGGATTCCGGACCCACCAGGCTGGTGCCTGGCCAAGGGCGGGGTCACCACAGCCTGTGAGCCAGCTCCCAGCCACTTGATATGCAGGAAATAGCTGATCCCTGGCAGGAGGGAGGCCTGGACCTTGTTCTTTAGCATTATTGCCTGTTAGGTTTTATTATGTTGTGTTTTTCCTCCAGCTGCAAATTAGAGTGCTCACAGCGAATGTTTGTTTATATATGTCATGTCGCCGTCTCTTTGGGAATAAATATGTGCATCTGAGGCAGGAGACTGTGTTTGTTTTTTAAACTAAGTGGAACTGCCAAACACCCTCTGCCCAGATCATGGAAAGTTGCCCTATTAGGAGTTTACACAAGAGAAATGTGTGCCAATTGTAACAGGTAGAGAGAGAGAGAGGGAGAGAACCTGAATAATCCTTCGGCAATTCAGAGTGTGACACAAGATTCACTTCCTTCTTAGCAATTTCGTGCCTCGTTCCTGATAATTTTAGGGTCTGCTATGTCTTTTGCTGTGAGAATTAGCATCAGCAGCTTTCAAAATGACTTACCAGTTAGCCCCTCCAGAAATCTTAAGACATTATTCTTTTCTTCTCCAAATTTCCCATCTCTAAGCCTTCTAATTCTCCTTCAAATTTCCATCTGTAAAGTTAATACAATCCAATAAGAAAATAATGTGCTCTTGAGACGTTGACATGCTCAGAGCCATTTTATCCTGCCCTAAAGCCTGGAAAGTTTGAATTTTCCTTGGGATAAAAAAGTAAGAAATAATAGAATAATTCACTGTACTGTAACAATTAAATCCAGCAATTTAACATTGCGCATTGGTAAATATAATGCTCGCAACAACCAAAAGTCTCCCATGTACTGACAGACAAAACCAAAGTTCTAAATCTAAACTTCCTATTCCAAACCACATTCTTCAATGTAAATAAGCACCCAAGCATGCGGCTACATATCTTTACAGAAGCAATTACAAACAAGCCTTATCAGCGGCTGCTAAGTCACCAAGGCGCACAATGCTTATCTGCTATGCCCTCTACTGGATAGAGTACACAAGGCAAGCCGCATTACTTCCAATTAATTTTTGGCATCATCACTCTGCATCTGCTTTAGGAATGCAAGGCGTGAAATTTATAGTAGCAGGTTTAATATTCCATCCAGCCAAAATCATTTCGCTACAAGGACTTACCTTTGGTGGAATATTTTGGGTTTTTTTTTTTTTTTTTTTTTTTTTTTTTTTTTTTAAT